GGCAAAAAAACAAGGGAGAACTTTTTTCTGATCACCTAAGTTAACAAGAGCATAAGATTTGTAATAAACATTCCACAAAAATATCTAAATTTAGAGGGACACTGAGTGGGAAGGACAGCTTTTCACTTTGACTAGACTAGAATAATTTTTCAAAGGGCCACTAGAACAGGAGTAGCTCATAGCTGGAATTTCTCCTTAACTCTACAGCAACATTATGGATCTCACATATGGCTACACAGTCACTTTAACATGTTTGTGCTCAATATTTTGTTTTGCTTTAAACAGAGAAGAATTCACAAACATCAGAAAAAGTCCTTCTGCTGGATCAGGCCATAGAATTCACAAACATCTCTGCTGGATCAGGCCATAGGCCCATCTAGTCCAGCATTCTGTGCCAAGTAGTGGCCCTCAAGATGCATTTGAGAAGCTCACAAACCTGGATTAGAAGGGTATGTACTTCTGCAGAAAGAAAAGTCGTTGGCACTAATAACATACATCCTTGGTATACTTTCCACTTAGGAAGCAAAAAGATGTACATCTATTTTATTGAGCAGATTCAACAGCCACATTTGTAAGGGCTGTTACCTACATTACCTGCAATATTTGCCATGTAAATTCCCTTGTGTGCTAGCTGAGCTGCTGTATGTCGTGCAGTGATTGCAAACATTCCAAATAAGTGGAGAGGAAGTTGCAAGCAACACAGGTTTAAAACAGTATAGCTCCTTTAAAATATGAAAATCAAATCTCAGTTGGGGAAAACACATAAGGCCTAGGAATGAAGATGGGGCACTTTTCCCGTTAGCAAGCAGCAGCCCAGAGAGAGAAAGCAGAGTCCAAACTTTCATGGTGACTTCCAAACTTAATGTGAACCGAATAGTCAATTTTTCAGAAAACAATTCTACCATATCATTTGATTTCAAAACAATTCACTAGCTGAATAGAGGTAGTATGATTTTTTGATATCCCTTCCTATCATGGCACTTCAAAACCACCAGGCCTCAACCCTTCAGTCTGACAAACAGAACCTAAGTTTGTCTTCCTAGCATTAACCAGGCAGAACAGCGAGTATCATTAATCTGTCTAACTAACGCAGAGGTTAAACCTGACAAACCTTTGTCCTGTCTGCATTATTCATTAATGAAATTAACTTGTTAAAGTGAGGGGGGAAGAGGAGGAAAGGGAGAAATGGAGACCAAAAGAGGAAGTCAGCCTTCCTTCCTTCCCTCTCTGGTGCATAAAGAGAATGCAAAGGGGTGGGGGGAAGAGGGAGGAATTCCATATTAGTATGAAAATCGTGGCAGCAACTGTAGAATGGAATGAACAATCCAATCCCCAGCTTAAAAGCTGCTCTAAAAGGCAGCTCAAATTTACAATGGATGAGCCTTCATGGCAATCTGTTTTTCCGATATTAAAAATCTCATTTTCTCAATGCCAAGGACAAGTGGAAGCGTGAGGCACTGGAGTATCAACTCGGCATTTGTCTCATTTGACATTAAATCATTCTCATTTTCAACTTGCATTTTCTAATATCTCCTTGGGAGCCACTTCAGTTTTGTTCATTTCTCTCTGGCTGCAATTAAGATGTTTGAGTATAGCATCTCCACCTTTGCCTCCACCTAACACACTTCCTCTAAGAATGCTTTTTTGCTTTAACCAGTTTCTCGGCAGTTAGAAGACTGACAAGTGCAGTCTTCCCACTAAGATTCACCAGCCAGAAAAATTAATTCACCCTAATCCATTATGGAGGAATGTAGTATGGAAGAAACAGCTCAAATTCATTCAGACTGAAAAGGAAGTTTCATGTCTATGACACCAATAGGGCTTTCTTATCCTAAAAAAGTTACTCCAGTCTTCTGTCATAGCCAGACTGTGGCCCGAAAATCAGATATGGAATGCATATCCTCCAACTCAGGATCCCAAATTTCATCCCAGCTTTTGGGGAACAGGAGTCTGTCCTCTTAAACTTTGTAATAACATTATATACTCAGACTGGTATTGTATAAAAATACAATATATAAATAGACAGAACACTTCCCCACCAGTAATTTCACACAGCAGACACTCTACTTTTCTTCTTTTCTTTGCTGCTGTTTCAGTGCCACATTAATGTGTATGTGAATTAGTTCAAAGACAGACACCATGAATACCCAAATTTATTAAGGATGCACCATGCAGGAGCCCCAATGTTTCATTTAAAAAATAAAAGAATACAAGTTTCTAGTCCTTAATCTACACAGAAGAGTTTGGAAGTGAGTGGGAGAGACTGAGCAGCATTCCAGAGCAGAAGGAAGGAATCATCAGGACCCAGAGCAGCTGGAGCAGAATTATGTTTTTAAAAAGAAAAGCAAATTGTTTATATTGCATCTGTCAGTAACAGTCATTATTTAAATGTTTATCTCTGTAGGCAAAAGTGGATTATAACTACCAAAGGACCTAAAGACAAAGATGGAATCCAAACAAGGGCATGCTGGTTCCACTTCCAAACCCCCTTCCTTGATTTCTCTTCCCAATATTATTTTTAAAAGTTTTGAAGGTGTCCAACCACCAGCCATCTTTTTTTCCCCCTTCTATAATGCCTCTGGGTCAAATGTATGTTAGGGAGATATAATTAGGAAAGCAAAACAAAGGGAGAGGGCAGGGCAGTTGAAACTGCTATCCAGTGCCTCCAGAAAACTACATTATTATTGCTTATTAATCAGGGGGTGTCTGCAGGGTGTGGTCAAAAAGTCAAGATGGTGGACATGATGGAGGAATCAAAGTTCCATCCATGCTATGCACATAGAAAGTGGGCGGAGCTTTGATTGGACCATTGTGCCACCATCTTGACTTTTTTGACCGCACCCAGTGGAGACCACTGTTATTATTGTAAGAACAGTAACAACAACATTAAACAGAGGATGGAGAAAGAAAAAAATGGATACTCTGCTGCCTGGTAAGCGTGATAGCTGGGGAGGATACTGCCATGGGACTTGGCAGGTGTCACTCTTTGCTACTTGTGAGTGCTTGTAGGAGTTGAGTTGAGAGGACTACTTAGCTGAGTTTATGTGAGTTTGGGTTTTCAAGAAGGGGTGGAATGTTGAGCTGCACACTCTAGTTTTCCTTCTGTGAAGTATACCAAATTCATATTTGGCATAGAGGAGCCCATATCCAACTGCTGCTTTCTTGAGTAGGTTACTTGTCTTTGTGACTACAGTAGCCATTTTATGGTGATGAGCAAAATCACAATTTATCTACCAAGAACCACCCCCAGAGATACTATACATTGAACTTCCTCAATTTCCTGGGTGGGCTTTTCTATCCATATGACAACACTGATTTCACCACAGCAAGAATACAACCTTGGCAGATACAGGAAAACCGATGCTGCCTTACGCCAACTTAGACCACTGGGCCATACAGTTGAGTACCATCTACTTTTACTGACCTCAGCTCAGTTCTCCATGGTCTTTTACAACTAAAGATGCTGGAATTGTACCTAGAGTTTCACCACACAAAGCATGTGCTCTGCCACTGAACTGTGGCCCCTCCCAGGGCAAGAACTATCTTCCAAAGCAGTAGAGCAAAAGCTTCTCAGCCAAGGAAAAGCAATCCCTTAAGTGGCTATTGATGCTTGCTCTGCAAGGCAGCAGGAAATCTAACATACTAATAGGGCCGCTAAATGGCTGCACTAAGTGCTGGAAGGTACTGATCCCCTTTGGCCTCCTCCTTCAGATTCTTTGCTCAGTTCTGGACTTTGGATTAGAAGACATATAAAATACTTTCCCCTCCTCTATTTAGACACAACACTGGCACATTTTCAGGTGAGGGTAATGAAATATGACAAGCCTTTTTGCAGCACGGGGTGTTCCAGTTCTTCTACCTGTTGATTACTACCTGTTAAAGAGCGGTTTGCCTCATTGGGCCAAATGTTAATTGGTACTACCTCAAAAACCAAATATTGTTAAGGAGTAGGGTAACCAATGTGGGTTTTACTTTAACTGTGAGCTGCCCAGAGCCACCTGCTGTGGGAGATGGGCAGCATACAAATTTAATTAATTAATTAATTAATTAATTAATTAAATCATGCAATTAACTATCACTGCTCAGTGAGGTACTGTAGCATGCTAGTGAAAGGAATGAACTGTTCAAATCTTGACACTGTTATGGACTCTTTAGGAACCGATTGGCCAGTTTCTCTTTCTCGCCTTCTCTAGGGCTGCTGCCTTTCCAATTACATGTATTTTAGTAAAAAGTCTGAAGTCTTGTAAGATTTCAGTGTTTTCATGGGAGATTACATGAAATTTCAAGCATGTCAGAATCTCATGAAACCCATGCAAGATCCACATCTGATGAGATTTCAGCAATGTTTAACTTAAAAAATATATATATTGGGTGCCTACCTCCCGAAAATATTGCCAATTCCTGGCATGTCGGATTGCTGGAAAAATAGGCATTGTTGTAGAAAAACAGTTGTTATTTCTCCAATCTGGTACACTCCAGATGTGTTCGACCACAATTCTCGGGTAACATGGATATGGGCAAAGCCAACTGGGAATTAGGAGAATTATAACCTATCTCAACTGGAATTCTGTCTTATGTTTTTAAATACTTAATTAACACAATCAGGATAGAGCTTATGGTTGAAGGTACCAAGATCTAAGAACTTAGAGCCCAGGCTTCAACCCTGGTTCACTTTTAGGCCAGAGCAAGTTAATCATGATCCAGCTTAGAAAGCATTTTGAATGGGGCCTTCTAATAACAGTGCTGCTTTCTTTATCTATTTGCAGTCCAGTGCAGGGCTTACTTCACAGCTGACTCTAGAAAGTCACCTACCACTTAATTCTCCTGCAGAGCTTCATACCAACATTAAATCAAGTCCTCTGGAGCATGGTGGGAAAATCAATAGGGCAGGCACCATAAATCCAAATCAACTGGGCAGACCAAAAACGAACAGCAGCAACTGTGGATTTTGCTGGGACGCCTGACAGCTGCATGAGGATACTAGATGCTGCCACTGTTTATAAAGTAGCAAATTCTTAGTTGCTGAGACCAGGGAAGAAAACAAGTATACAGGTAATTCTTGCTTAGTGACTGCCTTGTTTAATGATCATTTGAAGTTACAGTGCTAAAAAACAACTTAGTGACCAGTCCTTGAATTTATGACCTTTGCCATGTCTCTCTGTTCTTATTTTCACTTGCTTATTTACCCCAAGATGTCCTCAAAGAGAAAGAGAAAAAATCCCAGTTCAGCCAAAGAAAGTAGCAAGAAGCAAAGTAAAACCAAAGTAAAACCATAAGCACCGTCGCGGTCACATGATTTTCTCTTAGCAACTGCTTCACTTAATGACTGAGTTGCTGGTCCTAATTGCGGTCACTAAACGAGGACTAGCTGTACTCATATTTACAAACAGGCCAATTTACAAGGGTCAACGCTATCTTATGTGTCTACAAGCAAATCTTTTAGTTGCAGTTTAATTAAGATGTGGCAAGTCCAGCAGCAGAAAAATAAAACTGCTTTGGGAGTCAACTCTTATCTGTGAGCTGTCATCTAACAACCCCTAATGTAGGCTATGTAAGGGGTCTCTCGACATATATCTCTGTCCCCTAAAACAGCACACAGACATCTCCTGAGAAGAACTGAATACAAAAATCCAATTAAAGCATAGAAAATTCCTCCCTAACCTTATATGACTGACTCCTTTATCCTAACTAAAATTTAACATTGGATTATTTTAGAAAGGAGCTGCAGAATGCATTACAACAGGGGCAGGCTAATAAAAGCACAAATATGGCAGCACTTTGAAATGCATAATTTAACAAGAGGACAGCCAGCCTGGATTCATAAAAAGCGAAGGTCATGGCTGACAAATCTGCTGAAATCTGGTTTTATTATATGACCAAATTGTTAGATTAGACAAGAATGAAACGGCAGACATACGTTATCAGGGTCTTTGGGAAGTAAGCATTTGATTTGATGCCTTTGGGTTGATTTACAAAGTCATAAAAAACCTATCATGAGGGTGGGGGGCTGGGATAAATGGATTAAATAACACTGGCCAAGGGGGAAGGGGAAGACGTTGGGGAGCGGAAACAGTTTGGAATGTGGAGGGAGGAGGAAAAAGGTCAGCTTGCCATTTTGTTTACCTTGTTGCATTATAAAGGACTCCAAGGAGAATAAAAATATCTGCTTGCGGTTGGCTGTACAAAGACAGCAAGGACTTGGGACTCCATATCAGACACAGGAAGGAAACTGTGTAAAGGAAAGAGGATTGTAAACTTAGAAACAATGTTGGTTTCCTGTAAACCAGGAAGGGCTTGCATGTGGAATTAAAGCATACTCCACATAATAAATATAAGCGGGTAAATCTAGGCCAGACTTTCCTAACCTGTGCCCAAATGGATTAAATTACCATGTCCATAACTGGCTGGGAACTAATGCGCCAACAGTAAGCCAACCTGACTGGAGGAGCCAGACTGGAAAGCTGGGCTTGTGGCTTGAAGCCGCAGCAGTGATTCTTCAAGGAGGAGTCAATTGTTCCTTCTCTTCCTAGAGGTTTCCTCGCCCCCACCCCCAATTCACATGACTTTAAAATGAGTCTCAGTGCTTTTTTAAAGCAAACAGGGACAGAGCTTATCACTGATCAGCTGCTGACTGGAAAAAAGAGTTGTTTCCATGCCTGGCCTAGAAAGAAGGAATGGAGTCTAGGAAAAGACCAAGAGGCCAGACGGGAAGCCCCTGAGGACCACCAATGGCCCACACATTGGAGGTCCTCAGTGCCTGATCAGAAAGATGCTCAATGGCGAGGTCAGACCACCTTGGAGACTCAGGTTCAAACCCTCCCCTGCCATGAACTTAATACACTGTCTCTTCCCCCCGCCCCCTTCCAATGGATAAATGTACCGACATGAGAATACTGCACTGTTTCCTTTCCAATAGCACAAAAGGGCCAGTTGGTTCACACAGTTTATTTTCAAAAGTAAACTTCATTTTTTAAAATTAAGTACAAATGTTCAATCACTCATGAATTACTTTTTGCAAATTATGTGTATCACACATGCAGCCCAGCATGCCGAAACAGGGCATGGTTTTCTGATAATCACTTAGAGTTGCCAATACCCATATTTTGTTTAGTTTTGTTTCGGAGCAGCCAAGCCAAACTTTCAGGTGTTGCAATAGTTTCTTCTTGGTTTGTTTTACCAAGGTAAATATGAAATTAAAAGGCTGCTTGAACACAGTAATTGTTCACAGAAACTCAGATGGTGAGTTCTGGCTTATTGTTACATGTCAACAAAGCCACTGAGAAAAATATGAAAAAGTCTGTCTTCATCAGTTCTTTTTTCATAGGTTAGGAAAGGTTTATAGAGTTGTTGAGAGGACAAAAAACAGGGTCATTATAATTAAAATATGCATATCAAGTAATCTTCGCTATTGTATTCAGCATAAAGGAATCAGGAATAATCAGTTGTATTAAATGCATATGCTCTTAACTGCCTAGTTAATATTAATAGCTTAATTGCTACTAGCCAAAATAAAAAGTTACAGACCTAAAACTGAAATTTAAAGAATAAAATAATACTGCTAACTTTCTTTAAGCAACCCCTGGCTTACTGACATGGCAATTTTATAGATGGTGGCAAGAAAGTCACAGGCCACAATTCATGAACCAACAATAGACAGGTAGCCTGAGATTCTACTGCCCTACTTCTTGCTTATACTAAAAGGGGTATTATATGAATTAATGGAATGGAGTTCCTTATAAAATTGGCTCTGCACTAAGATATGGCACCTCTCTTAGTAATTGATTCCATTGTTGAAATGTTTTTACTACACACATTTTTCCTACAACAGTTCCCTGATAATCTTTGGGCTTGTCCCAATTTGTCCAAATCCTTTTCAAAGTATGATGCCCAGAAGTGGGCATAATACGCTAAGCTTTGGAAAAATGTCTAAGGTAGTGTCAGAAAACGACAGACACGGGTTCGGTTGTCCAGTAGACAGAAGTTTTTATTGGGC